GTTCGCTTGCTCGCTTTTGATTCCTTGTGTGTGCATGTATGCTTGCTCGCTTGTGTCCGGAGTTGCGTCATCTGTATGTGCTTATTTTTTGGTTCTGGAATGTGTGGTATCGTGTGAGCGTATGTAGATGTCTCAAATCGTGTGTGGGCAGACAGTGGTGAACCCACGCGGTTCCTCCAAGGAATCATTGATGGAATCCATGGCCAACCATCCCATGCAAACGGTGGATCGAACGAGCCACCCTCGCATGCTTCACAGCGCTACACCGACGGTGAGTATTACGCAAGCGGTTGTCCGTTTAGTCGATAGGGTCCAAAATGATGAACAGTCGACTCATACAAGCAATTAATCCACCGAACAACGCACCCTTCCACTGAACAATCGACCGGTTGTCGAGCAGATCAGGGCGCGTTGTTCAGTGGATTGATTGCGTACGACTTTTCACGTTTGGTATGGGGCATGACTTGTTCGGTCGAGAACCCGCGAATGGTGATGATGCGAAAACTGGTCGTGTGTGACAACCACGCGATCTATCGGTCGATTGACGAGCTCACCGTTCCCGATAATGAACTTGCTCGACGGGTGCATCCCGATAATGAACTTGCACTGATCATACACGTGCATGTATAGATAGCCTAAGTAGTGGATGGCCAGTCATCATCGCAGATCTACACGTGAGGGAAGCGGCACGCACCCGTCGAGCAAGTTCGTTATCGGGAACGATGAGCTCGACAATCGTCTGATAGACATAAACGTGAGCAAAGCGGCACACACAACCAGTTTCGCATCATCACCATCCGTGACTTTTCGACCAAACACGTCATGTCCCACACCAAAGGAGAATAGCCGTACGAAACCCACCACCCGACGGCAGCAGCACAACGTCGAAAGAAGCAAACAACCTGTCTCTTCTTCGTGTGTGTTTGTCCCTTAGTGTGTGCATATATACGCCACCACATCGCCGGAGACCACGGCACTCGACATCGAAAACAAGCGGTCATCCAAAACACGACCGCGCATCCATGACGAATCCTCATCGATCTCTTTGTAGATGAACCGTTGTTCGACACTGAACCTTGTTCGACACTGAGCCTTGTTGCATATCGAACCAACCTTGGTCGACATCGAACTTTGTTCGACATCGGACCTTGTTCCAAATCGAACAAACCTAGTTCGACATGGAACCTGGGTGCTCCACGACCAGCACAGGACGGGTGGAAGAAGAAGTTCGTCGGAATCCGAACTTCACGTTTTCTCTGAGGCGGACGACCGAAGAAGTCCGCCCGCATCCGAACTTTCGCGTTCGGCATACTCTTCATCCAATGTTCGCGCGCCGCCAGCGGAGGCAACTAAAGAAGTCCGCCCGCAGCCTATCTTCATTGGTTGGCCTGCTCTGTTTCCAATGCTCGAGCACCGGCTGCGGGTGCTTACTGATGAAGTCCGCCCTAATCCGAACTTCAATGACTGTCGTGCTTTGTATCCAATGCTCCTGCACGGACTGCGGGTGCTTAGCGACGAAGTCCGCCCGAATCCGAACTTCAACTTCGAGTGTTTTATGCTAGGGAGCAGAGCAGGGTAGACGTCGACGTTCGGATGAGGAATAGGGAGGTCACTGAAGTCCGGATGCGGGCGGACTTCTCAGGACAAAAAACTTTGCAACCGAAGTGCTCACTCCCATGTCGTTGGTCGACTAGAGAAGTCCGCCGGCATCCGAACTTCAATGATCGGGGTGTTTCCTTGCTGTGCATTCGCACTTCGCCTGCTTACCCTGTGCGTGGACTGTAGGGTACGCAATTGAGGCGACCTTCTTGACACCAAGGATAATGGAGTCGATGTTCTCGACACCATGGACCATTGAACCTTGGTCCACATCGAACTTTGTTCGACATCGAACCTTGTTTGAAATCGAACGAACCTAGTTCGACATGGAACCTGGGTGCTCCACGACCAGCACAGGACGCGTGGAAGAAGAAGTTCGCCGGAATCCGAACTTCACGTTTTCTCTGAGGCGGACGACCGAAGAAGTCCGCTCGCATCCGAATTTTCGC